TAACACATTTTGTCTTTTTGAAGGGGCCAAATCATTATTTCTTTTAAAGGATGAAAAAGAAAACCAAACTCTGCCTTAAAATGTTAATCTCTTAGAGATGCCTTGCCTGATAGCTTTCCTGGTACTGCCGTTTTTTTTTTTTGTTTTTTGTTTTTGTTTTTGTTTTCTGATGCCTGGGCACCCTTTGGTAGGCTGGAGCTTCAAGATGTAGGAGATGGGATTCATTCTAACTTTGAAAAAGCATGTAAATAAGCAAAAGGAATTTATCAGCACATGCAGAGATGAATAACCCCTTCTCCCAAAGGGGGTGTACAGATACTAACATCAATAACCTCAGCATTCAGGTTTACATGATTATTATAAATTCTTACTTTTTTTCTGGGTGGGGAAGGTGGTGGGAATTTCCAAGGGTGTTTGAAATCAGCCCTAAAATTTCTCAACCCATGATCTTTTTTTTAATGATCCCACTATTCCTACCAGAGGAATAGTAAAATAAATGAGATCATCATTCTTTACTGCTTGCCTCTTGTAAATCATTAGTCGGCCTGGAAGGGTGGTTATTTAAGAGACATTTTGAAGGTCTGTCCTGGTGGCAGAGGTGCTCTGGTCAATGGAAGTACTGTGGCACCTTCACCAATAACACGATGTGTAATCTGTTTTCCTGGAGTTTTAGTGTAGGGTGGTTGTCTGCAGGAGGCCACTTAGGATCAAAAAGTTGTCAATAGGACCATGGTGCTGCCAATAGCTCCATGTGCTATCTAGATCTTGTTTCTCCTCCCACTTCTCACAAAGTTCAGAAGTATAGCTTCCAACTTACGCACAAGCACGTGTGCTTCCCTACCTTCTAATAGTCCAAACTGTTGGGTTTCTAGAACAGTGAGTTGTTAGTTTGTTTTTTCTATTAGGAGAGTCCTGCATTTTACCAAGTAGAGAACCAACTTTCCCCTAGAACTAGTAACATTCTGCTACTTTTCTGAAACTAAACAAAAATTAAAACCAAATAAAACACACACACACACACAAACTTAAACCCAATAACAAAAATCTCCAGAAGCAAATGATTAAAATTTCCTATTTTTGTAAGCCTTTCAAACATAGGGAGTTTTTTGGAGTTTCCATAGTGATATAATTTTTTTTTTTTAACCTAGCTTTGGACAACTGTATTTTAAAGTGACAGACCTGAATAAAAACAGGGGAAATAAAGCACTGCTTTCCACCTTCAATCTTCTTTTAAAATCATAAATACATTTAAAATTAAAATCGAGGCTTCCCATTTGACTCCCTTGCCTTGTTGTGGATTCATGATTCTGCCCGCCCATTTTGAGGTGAGATTTAATTCCGCGGCTGGAAGGAAGAGGGTGGCCCAGTCTTGAGCTGCAGAACTCCTCTCTATTCATAGTTTGCCACCTGAATTTATAACTTCCCATCAATACTAACCCAACACCCAAAGGTAAATCCTTCATTTCCTTGGACTTCTCTCTCACTCTGTCAGCTCCAGACATCATCTCCATCTCTAATTCTTTCAGGAGACATTTATTGATTTCCTTGCTCTGAGGCTCTGTGCTGGGTGCTGAGTCCTGATCCCTGAGACTCAAGAGTCACAGCCTACTTAGGAGGCTGCTTAATATTGAGATCCTGGCTTCATATCTCACTCACACTGTGGCTTCAGGAAAGGGACTTTACTTCTCTCATCTATGAAATGGGACTGCGTATATTTTTCATAGAGACGTTTTGAGTATTAATAAGTTAATTGTTTTTACACAACACGTAGAAAGTTCCCACCATACAGTAAATGCTAAACATGTTCTGTTCAATAAATAATTAAATGGCAATAGCCATACTGTGGCGTGAAGATTACCTCGCCATTCTGAAGGCATTAAGGGAACCAGGCTTAATCTAGCCTGTGCTGGAAAGAAAAGGGTAAGAGAGGCTTAAAGGAAGAAGAAAAATTATGTTCTATTTAATGAGAACATTGATAATAACAAAGGGCACCTCCCCAATGCTCCTAATACAATTAATACACGAAAGTTGGACTCGTTAACCTTTTACCGAATAGGTAGTTTCACTACATGCAAACGCTTTTTTGAAACAACTTTCTAATGATCACAGTCTTATTATAGAAATAAAAAAAATTAATAAAAGCATAAAAAAACTTGGGGTCTACAAATTGGAGACATTAACTATCAAAGATTTGGTGTCTTACCATCTCTTTCATGTATTTTTAATGATTTTCATTTTTAATTGACAATGAATCGAATACATTGTTCTCTTTAAATACGTGCACATAGATGGTAAAAAGTAAACTCTTTTTCACCAACTTTCCAATGCCAGAAAATTCCCAGAGGAGAAAATACCTTTAACTGTATCTAGCATTACGGATGCTTTGCTATCATTTTGCATATTAATGTTCAAGTATAACTCGTACCTATAGGTTTGGATTTTTTTAACCGTAAATAAGATTGTGTGATACATGTGCTTTGTACCTTACTTTCTCGCACAATATATCTTGGAGAGTTTTCTGTATGAGTACATGAATCTTTTTTTAAAATGGCTGCTTGATATAATTGTGCCATAATTGATTTGATCTTTTATTTGCAGCTATTTGAATTCTTTCCTATTTTCTTTATACCATATCAAGCTGTATTAAACGTTGCACATACATTTTGTATCAATGCATTTCTGTAGAACAACACCTAGAAATGGTATTGCTTGGCCAAAGTTAATTCACATTTTAGATTGGCATAGACACTACCTACTTATCCTTTTAAGAGGACACACTATTTTATACTACAGCCCCAGTACACAAGAGTATCCCATTTCCTCACACCTGCATCGGTACTAGCCGTTACCATTCATTTTAATACATGCTAATAGGCAGGAAATGGTTTTTTTATAGTTTTTCTTTGGCATCTCGTGGTTATTTAGTTTGTGTGCCTCTAATTTTTAGTGAAGTTGAGCCTCTCTTCATCTGTTGAATGCTATCTTTCTCTACCCATTCACATCTGGAACCTGTTGGGTAAGGTAAGGATTGGCAGGAAGAGACACACACCTCTTAAATCGATGAATAAATTTTGTATATGATTAAAGAAGAAGCTCTTACTGACATTTTTTTCTCATATAGTTAGCCTGTTGTCAAAACATGAATTAATTGATCTGATCTATTATTATTGGTCTTAAGTCCCATCTTTATCATGTACTAAGATCTAATATACACCTAGCTCCATCCATATATTTCTATTGTGGCGTCCATGTCAGCTTATTTTAGTTAGTTATAATCACAGTAATGTGACTAAAAAAAAAAAAAATCTTCGTGGCATGCAACAATGAGCATTTATTCTCATGGATCTGGGACTTGCCTGGGGTTGGGTTCACCTAGACTGGGCTTGACTGTTTAGCTCTGCTTCTGACAGAAGCAGTTCCAGAGGCTCTGCCTCTCCCTGCATGCTATGGAGACTCCTCTCCCTCAATGAGATGAGTGTTTTCTGTGCTTCTCATCCTCCTCTGACTCATGGGACTGCTAGGGCATATTTTTCTCAGAGTGAGAGCAGAGTTGTAAAGAGCATGTGCTAATAACATTCAATGGAAGTTCCTTATTATTACCTAGTAATTCATCTTTAATCAAATTTCCCCAGTGTCTAATAAATATTTTTATACATAGTTTCTTAAATTAAAGAATTTAATCCACAAATTAAATTTGGTTGCCTTAAGTCTCTTACTGCAGAGCAATCCTCCTGATCTGTTTTTAGGATTTTTTTTTTCATGCCACAAAACTTGTTGCTGGAACCAAAACATTTGTCTCGTAGAACTTTCCATGTTCTGAATTTTGCTGATTCCATCCTTCCATGTCTTGAATTATGCTTCTCCAATCCCTGTGGTGTTTTCTGTTAAGCAGTTAGTTACATCTAGAGACTCAATCATCTTCAGCTTCACGTGTTTTCTTTTTGGTGGGGGTTGGGAGCACGGTAAAAATGCTTCATAAGCCATGCTATTCGCTTCCCAGAGCATTTGTCCTTTTGAGAGATACATGTGTTTAGATTTGTCAATAAGATCAGGTTTTATCAGGCTCCTCCATCCCTTATGAAGTTCCCCTGTTAACTAATTATTTCAGCCTCATGCCATTCTCTCATTAGGGATTGCAAAATGGTGATAGTCAAATTTTATCATTCCTTCTGCATTTATTAGCATAGAATATTTTGTAAGCTTGAGGTAGAATTCATATTAAAAAAGTATGGATACCTTCTCCAAACATACAAATTTATCACTGTGTGATTTACACCTGTAGGGTCCAGCCTGAGTTAAAGACCCTTTGCGGCTCTTATACCAGGTCTGAGAATAAGTACCAGGCTGATTACTAAATAGGTAGAAGGGGAGCATGGCCTTCCTGAGATTAAAGCCACAGGGAAGAAAAGTCCTTCAATGGAAGAAACCGACCAGGGAGGCTGTTGAGCACACACACCTACCAACACATCCACCAGTATTTTTCATTAAAAGGAGACAACTTATAGCCTCCTTTCTGCCAGCAATGGGCCACAAACCAGACGTGATAAATGAGGCTCCTGTCTTCTCCATGTCCTAGATTTGTTTTAAAAATTATTTTCAGATCGTTTAGTTTTCTCTTCACATTAAAAGGTTGGAAATTATTTTTGGATCTGTGTTAGAGATTTGCATCTGCATCATAGAACCCTGATTCTGAAACTACTGAGGCCCTGGAATTATAAAATGTTTAATGAGACCTACGAATTTAACTGTGCTGCTTGGAAGTTAGAAAGCCACAGTTTGTCAGCATTTTGCTGACAAATGTCATCACCTACAGACGGGTCTTTGGCTCCGATTATGTTCACCATTGCTAAAAGTATTAAGAAACGAGCTACGCTGAGCGCAACAAAAGACATGTTTTTCATTTAATTGGTTAAACTGCAGTTCAAGAACAAAAATAAACTTGCGTGTCTTTGGAAAGAGTCTGGTTCAGTAACGGTCCTTTTGTTTAAATTCTAATGCAGAGGATGCTGTGTATCTGGACAATGAGAAAGAAAGAGAAGAGTATGTTCTGAATGACATCGGGGTGATTTTTTATGGAGATGTCAATGACACCAAGAGTAGAAGCTGGAGCTATGGTCAGGTGAGCGATTTAAAATCTGTCACTGTCAAGGATATTTTTACTTAATATTTTTTGTCACGTGTATCCCTGCAGAGTGCCATAGATCAATATTAGACAAGCACAATTTCCTGCTTTTCAGGATCTGAGGCTCCAAGGCAGAGAATATAGGAGTAGAGACTTATAAAGATAACTGAATAATTTATCAGCGGAAACCACACATCTGTGGTTATTACAATGGTACAGGGAAGAGAGTCTATGGATAATGTGGCATTCTATTGAGAAATGCTTTGGCATCTTAGTGTAGTGAAATCTCATTAGATCAACCTGGAATGGACAGAAATTTTCCTTTTCTTATATAGAAAGTTATTTAGATAATGAGGCAAAGAATATGCAGGTGAGTGCTCCACTCAACTGGTTTTTAAAAAGTATTAGTCAAGGATACTTCTAATTAGAAAAGAGTGTTGCCATTTTGTGAAAGAAGGGCCACCAGGCTTTTATGGTCCACAGGATTTTATATAGAAACATTTTATCAGCTGAAACCTCAAGTGACTGTCTAACTATAAAGCATCAAATGATATTTTTAAAAGACATTCAATAATTCAAATTATTTCAATTTGGCAGCTTTAACAATGGAGCAAATGAATGATGTTTTACCATTTTTTCTGTAAATGAGTGGGTGTCCTGTGATTCAAAAATGATTTTAATTAGCAAAATAAGAGGAGGGAAATGTGTCATTTCCCAGAGAGTTTGGCTGGTGTGACTGGACTTGTGCATCACTGCTCTGGGTGTCCAGGGGAGCAATTTCACAGACTTTGACTGCACCGGGTCACATGATACTTTCTTGGCACCAGGTGCCTCACTTTGACTTCCATATGGGATCTCCCTGCTCCAACCTGACTGTTGGTACCTGTGTCATCCTGCCTACTTGGCTTTGCAACCAGCATCTTCACCCTGACTCCTGAGAATTATGTGCCAGTGCTCAGGCTTGCCTGCTGGCACTTCTGATGTCCTGCCAAGCTATGGTCCACATTTACTTCCCCTGTTTTTGGATTCTTGCCTGGCTCCCTAGTTACGAGCCCTACTCTGCCTCAGTGACGTGCAACCTTGGACTACTGTCCCCAATTCCTAGCCTTTAGCCTAGCAATTCTATTTATAGCCCCAATGTGACAATCTGTAGCAAGCTAATAAAGGAAAAAAA